GGGATGGGTGGGTTTGTTGGAGCTTAAACCTCGTAGGGGACCCATGTCCTATTGTTTCTGCTCCATTACTTGGTACAAATCCTCAATTAAAAAACAATAAGAAAAAAAAATCCGGGGAGAGTGAAAATGACCCAAGTTACGTAAAACTAATGTTAATGGACCCCTAGAGCTTTCGAGTTAGGTTGTGTTATTTTGTGTTTGATTAGAAGAAGTGCCTAGAAATAAAAGCACAGATTTTTACCATAGAGGCCGTTATTCGAAAAACGTACTTGTAGAGGTGGCATTTGACATCAATTAGTTTTTTAATGATACAGCAAACACCGACGAAAGGATGAAAAAAGACGTGGGAAACGGTTATTAAATAACTGCTTAAGAAACAAAGAATCCATAGCGAATTTCCAATTGCGTTTAGTTTATTTTGTGGTATATTCAAACACATAACTTTGAAGAAATGTCCCAAAATTTGCACAGGTCGCCATCGCTTTTATGACAAAATGGAAATCATGCTGGGATTTCGCATCAATCCATGGATTGGTTGGTGTTGGTGCTTTTTAGCGCCGATTTTTTGTTCGGTAAGTTTCTGGTATAAAGTGAATACACTGAGAAGGTTCTCCTAGAATATATGACTTGACCATGCAGAAAATGTTTAAAGTTGTCCCTCAGTTGCATGTTGATTGAATGGACGATTCGATTGAGGCCTTTAGCAACTGTACTTTTTTTCTTTTATTCTAAGCGTTCGCTCATCTACGGCATCGTCAGGGAATTTAAATAAAATAGTCCACAATACGTGATATAAAAGCGATGCAGAATTTGTGCCACAAAGGGAGCGATTATGTGTATATATATTGTACGAGCTGCATTTTCTCTTTGTATTTAATAGTTTCTTTTTTAGTATTACTTACTTCCATAGTATTTTATAGATGTATGTGGTATGCATACCTCCTCAAGTATTTTAGCTTTAACCCTTTTACTTCCAAGGTCTGATTGTTAATTCTCCCCTCTAGCTGCTACACATCGTTATGGGGAGAAGTTACATGTTAATCACTTCTGGTTCAGTTAAAGGGTTAAAAACTGTCGTGATTTTTAGTAAAGGTCGTAATTATTACTAGTGCTCTGATGGTTGCCTTACAACTAGGCGTGTGAATGGCCGAAAGAGGCCCTGATGTGTTTTCTAACTTATTACACGACTCGGGCAGTCAGAGGGCCAATAACTAAAATCAACCAATCAAAATGCTCTATTGCCGGTCGATATTCTCTCAGTATTGGACTGGGCACTGTCCCGAATGGTCCCGAATGATACCGCACTTGTGTCCCTTTGAACTTCAGTGGTATAATAAATCTCTTATTAACCAAGCTTGCTCGAGACCGTACTGGAAGAATATCGGCCCTCGGTCTTTTTTGTATGGACCTCGCTGCGCTCGGTACGTACTGTCGAGACCTCGGGCCGATATTCTCCCAGTACGGCCCTCGCGCTTGGTTAATAAGAAATATATATATCACCTTGCTGTCACGCTGCCTCTCCCCATCCAGGTAAATAGGCACTGTCAAACCCTCAGAGAAAGCTACCGAAATACAGTGGGGGAGGGGAGGGAGGGAGGAGGTTACTTGCGTTGGGCATTACCCTATCCAGTCCCTACCTGCATTAGAAAAGGGATAACCTCCGGTATCAATCGGCTATTAAGTGCGTGTAGGTAAGTTCCTCGTTGTTAGAAGGTGCTAAAGACACCAAAGGGGCTGGAGTCAACTTAATGAGAGAAGCAAGTCCGTTTAACTAATCATTCATTTGTTTTGATATGCAGTTCATCTTCATCTTTAACCTGGCTACGTATAAGCCATTGAAATACGGTCAGTACGTTTATCCAGGCTGGGGTCAAACTATTGGTTGGTTGTTAACGGTATCGTCATTAACCTGTATTCCGGCTGTGATGATATGCAAACTGGTAAAGACTACTGGAACAATCAGAGAGGTATATTATTCAGTTATTATGGGGTCGAAGTTAGTCGTTTTTAGGTCATTTTTTTTTTCAATAACTCTATGTCAGCGTAAAGAGTGGTTTGTCGTTTGCACCGATCAGATTGCTGCATTTTTCATGTATCACAAACCAATCAGATTGCCGCATTTTTTTGTTGTGTACGAACGTTTTGAGAACGTTTTCCTCCAAAAAACTTGCTTCATTCATTTTAAAACAGCGATTAGTCAAACGTCAATCGTTACCAAGAAATTAGAAAACAGACACATTTTTGACTTCACGTCACTATTTTCAGTATAGAAATCCAAGGTCATGCGCAGTATGTAATGCACGGCATTCGTGATCCAGTAACATCTTTTCTTGTATAGCTGTTAGTTCCCGTGGGAAAGATGAAGCGAATCAATCCTGTTTTCTGATTAGCTACCCGAACGAGAAAGATGAGTTCATCGGTCCAAGAAAACGCAAAACAAGTAGGCCAATATCCAGTCATCTTGACCTCACGATTGGTTAATTTTACTCGCGGTGAAAATCTTAAAATGAGGCAGATAGTGTACATTTAATTACTACTGATGGACGTCCCTTTTTCACAGCGTTTGAACAAGTTGATTACACCTGAGATCGAGGTAGACAGGCAAGAAACGGAACTTGAAGATCATAAACAAAATCAGGTTAATCCGTTAACGGAAACCAACGTGGAAATAGAACAGAAAGCCTGATAAACACCTCGGTACATTTTATTGTTAGTTGAAACATATACAACACTCTGTGCTTGAAATCATTTCTAGAAATGTGTCACCGTCAATAGATGATGAAACATAACCAAATAAAGAGATTCAATGTCCAAAAGTAATATACAGCAAGCATTGATATGAATCAAGCCGGCGAAGTTCTCGCTTGAGGTATCTGGGGGTTTCGTCTTATTGCAGGTTCACCTCCTACCAGTTCGCCCCTATGTGGACAAGTTCGCCCTATCAAACAAAAAAATCCATCCCAACCTTTAGCGGTTCGCCCCCATAATATTGAGTCATTTTAAATGCTCCAAAATCAGTCAATTAAGTGGTTTAAACAATCGTGTATCATAGAGACTGGCGTTTTGAATAGTAATAGTAGTAATAGTAATATAGTTTATATCTGACCACTTGCAGCCCAGAGGCTGAATTACGGGTGCAGTGTAAGGTTGAGAACAGACGTCAGCATATCAGGCGCCTCTGGCAGCCGCTTCAGTCCATCGATCTCACCCTCTCACCCATCCCAATCGACTTAGTGTGCTTCCTCAAGTTAAGCGTTTCACAAATATGCATTTTAAGGGAACCTATTATGATTTCGTCAGAAAGAAACACTATTTTCCTTTAAAAAACGAGTTACTATAGGTTAAGAGAGGGACTGATAAAGAGGGGGGGAGCTTGATGTATTTGATTGATTGACGTGAGTAGGGCGAACTACTTGGGGTCGGGCTTGCAGTGGGGCTGTAACCTTCGTAAAACTTACTTGATTTTAGGCTTAGAAAGAAGCAGTGTACACATGTATTCAGTAACAGCTTGGATTATTCATATGCATATCATGCAGTCATCCCCCCCTCACCAAAAAAAAAATAATAAGGTAAATTTAGGTTTTTAACCCATCAACATGCCGTCTCGATCCTCGATACGTCGTGAATTGATGCGATTTGGGATACTCATACAAAAAAGATGACGTTATTTCTAAACCGAACTCAAAATTAAGTATTTCTAATTCCACGCTTCCCGAGACCGGGCTTTTTCGAAATGTCTCTAGACAAACAGAGGCCTTCCGGTTTAAAGAATACGAAATTCTTGTTTTAGATCTCTTTGTCTTACTTGATTGACAGAGTGAGTGCCTGATGGGTTCCAGAAGAATACCAATGACAAATGACGGCACTCAATCAGTAAGCTGTTGTGATATAAAATCCCGCAAAAATCTTGATAAACTAGGATGCAAAATGCTCGATGATGGGTGAAATTTGAACCAAAACCATAAACGAAAAAACCTCCCAAAACTGGTCTGATACAATCCATACCATCAATACCAGAGCCAAAAGCTAGCCAAGAACATTCTGTGGAGCCAAAAGGTTATGGATGTGCACACATTGGTGTGGTTCTTTTGAATAGATTTGCCTTTCAGCTGATTATTATGACTTCACAGTCACCACCACCCAACGAAAATCATTACCCTTTGCAGCATTGGTTGATTGAAGAAATGTTCACAACTGTCTATAATCGTCCTTCTCCTTAGCATTTAATGACAATCTCATTAACATTCCGTCGAAGATTCTTCTGACTTTTTTATGAAATTGTCTCTTTCGTTAGATGCCCACTGCCGTTTATCCTTTCCTCTCACGTATTTCATGCTGCAACAATTATCATGGACCCTATCATTTATCATAAATTCCTCCATCAACTAAATTCATCCAGTATCGAACAC